TAGGATGTGGTGAATTACATAGATATTTGAAGAATTTCTGTAGCCAAAAAGAGACACAAAGCAATCAAGGGAGGGGGGCAGAAATACAAATGTAGAACCACATTTTCTTGATTGCTCTCTATTATGGTGACTTTGAGGATGGCTCTTGGAATGCTAATGAAATTGGAATGTTTAGTCTGGTTCTTCTCTTCAAGTCAAAGGCAAAATTCTAATTCCATCGTAATTATTAGAGCAGAGGCAATTCTGCTTGGCTTTTAAGTATCACAGGCAATTTTCATGTTCTTGTTTATTTAAGAACGTATTCTGCCAAAAGTCACATTCAGAGCACTTTACAATATTAAAAATTAATGCAAAAATGTTTTATAGTTATCATTACAAAATTATAAAACCTTATTTTCCCAGTATTGTCCCAATATTCTTACAGTAACAGAGAAGACAGCTGGTGAGATTCTAACACCCTGCAGTACTTAAGAGCTTACTCTGGAATATCATCCATTGACTTCCAAGAACTATTTTATAATACAGAAATGAGAGCTCCTTTGTTCAGCAGAACCAAATATTCAGACAATTTAACTATTATTCTAGCGTATATCCGTTGCCACCTGGCCAGACTTACACAAGTAAACACTTAGTATGTGGTCCAATGTCCTTGCAACACACTTATCAGACATTCAGACAAGATATTTAGTTAAGAATACAAATGAAAATACTGCCCTTAGTTTGGGAGGATTGTATGTCTTTGGGCATTCCAACTTACATTTTTTAAAAATTATTTTTAAAAATGTCTAATTCATTAAATTACTTGCTTTTTGGAGGGAAATTATGCTGTGGAAATATTAAGCAGGCATTTTAGTTCTTTCATATATTGTAAAATCTATTATATCTCCATAGCGAAAGTGGTGTGTCTTTAACATATGAATTTCAGCAGCATCAAAAACATTAATCAACTTTAGTGTTAGTGGTTTATATAAAATTTGAAGAATTATGTTCTCTAGGATGTCTGCACGCAGCAGGAAAAGGGAAATAATTATGTATTGGATAAAAAGTAATTCATAAATTTAATTGGCTTTACAGTAAAGGCTTCCCTTGACATTAAGTCTAGTCATATCCAACTCTGGGGGCTGGTGCTCATCTGCATTTCTAAGACGAAGAGCGGGCATTGTGCCTAGACACCTCCAAAGTCATGTGGCCAGCACGACTGCATGGAGCGCCATTACCTTCCCACAGAAGAGGTACCTATTGATCTACTCACATTTGCATGTTTTTGAACTGCTATGTTGGCAGAAGCTGGGCCTAACAGCAGGAGCTCACCCTTCTCCCTGGATTCGAACCGCCAACCTTTTGGTCAGCAAATTCAGCAGCCCAGCAAATTCAGCAGCCACAGTTTAACCCACTGTGGTACCAGTTGACTTTACAGTCAACTTTATTTTGACTTTTTTTTACAACAAAATGCAATGAAAAATTATCTAAAATTATGTATCTATCTTTCCTATCTCTTTAGAGCCAAATCCATATTCACAGGAATATATTTCTTATGGATTCCTCTTATCAGATCCTCATTCCATACTTGCTTAGAAAACTAATCTTTTGAAACCACAACTTCTCATTCGTATGTGAACTATTAACAACTTTAACATCCTTTTTTCAGGGACTTTACCACTAAAATTACTTTTCACTAAATTTGAAGATCTGCTTACAAAAGAACATGCAGATCTGTTTTAAGGACTGTTCAGCTTTCTTGAATGGACTGAGATTAAGGGATTCTTAACGTAAGGCTGCATTTATACCAGGCAGGTTACTTGATGTAAATCTCACCCATAACAGCCCAGATCCAGCATGTATGTGCTGAACCACAGGCTGGAACTGTCATCTCATCTTCCATGTTGCCACAGCCACTCCCTGTCGACCATAGAGTCCATGCTACTGGCCATCACAGTTTTGTTTTTCTGATGTCAGAAAGGACCCCCTGTGCAAGGAGCAAGGAAGGGGTTGATTCTTCCCCACCCCCTTGCTGATTGAGTAGGTGCCCCATTCTGAAATCAAGCATGAACCCAATGGCCAGGTGCTCAGACTGCCCATCCTCTATTCCTACACTGATCAGGACAAAGTAAGGGTGATCATGGCAGCGTCCGTCTGGATAGGGGATTGGGCCAAACTGAACCCAACTCAGCTGTCCAACACTGCTGCAAAGTCCTAGGATACTTGGGAGTTTCCAGCAAACTTCAGAGTATCTTCTGACCTTGCCTAAAGTGGGTCAAAGCCATATTAAACCCAAAAAATCCAGGATTCTCAATGGAGGTTGCTGTTCATCATGGAGACAGACAGCGGTGAGTTCACGGTGAGTATGAGTTTTTGGCCAGTGTAGACAAGTATAAGCTAATAAAAAATGCATGTTCTGCTGATTTAAATTGATATAAATAAGTTTCCATCTAATCATACAAGTGGTTATGAACTACCGAACTTGTGAATTTTCTAGTATAATATACGCAAACCATCAACATACTAAAATATACCCACTGTTTTTACAACTAACAGAGATTTTAGCTCTGTGAAGCTATGAAATATAAGCTTGTCTGTAAACGATATAACCAGGCTCTTTCAGTGGGAGGTCATTATAATTGATCCAGTTGTACATCTTCCTAGATCAGTGGCTCCCAACCTCTGGGTCCCCAGGTGTTTTGGCCTATAACTCCCAGAAATCCCAGCCAGTTTACCAGCTGTTAGAATCTCTGGGAGTTGAAGGCCAAAACATCTGGGGACCTGCAGGTTGAGAACCACTGTCCTAGAGGATTAAGGATATGTGCTGAGTGGGTAGAAACATATCCAAAGACGGGCATTTTCTAGCATTCTTTGAAGCATTCTAAAGTATTTTTATAATTTGTTTTGGGAACACAAATAGTATCTCTAAATGTGGACTTAAATCCTTAAAAAGAAACAGGTTTCTTATATATTGCATTGGATAGATTGAATCAGGTCTAGTTTCTTTTATATGGTCATCATGATTTTCTATAGGTGAGCAGATGAAGACTGGTAAATGGCATGTGTTTTGTATCTCAAAAACTAGAGCTGATAGGGGAAAACCGGTGCAATGTTTGGAATCAGTACGTCAAATATACCCAGAAACAGGTCTAACATTGAGGTATCAAAAATGTGTGTTGGCCAGTGTTATCCACGGACTTGGCAATAAATCAATTCTTTTTGCTTGGAGGAAGCTCAGCATCTGTTTGGAGACGACTGTAAGAACTCGTGGAAGGCTTCCGTTTCGCTGCTGATCTGATAAGGTTAGAGTCAGGGACAATTGGACATAGACTATCGAAACCTTCAAGATACAGCATAGAGACCTTGATCAAAGTTACAGCAGTTAGAACAACCTCGACTGAACAACAGATGTTAATCCTGTAATAGTCTTGAGTCTATCTAAAATATATGATTACATACCAAATCAGAATCAATACCATCGCAATTCCAATTTCTATGTATGTTGTGAAAGCTGGGTAGTGGAGAAAGTGGACAGGAAGGGACTCAAATTCTTTGAAATGCGATGCTCAAAGACCGTAATAGAAATAGTCTCTTGGCTTGCTCATTAATCAAAATGGAAGCTGTAGTCATACTAGTCAAGAAATCAAAGGATAAGGACTTGGAAAGGCTGCCCTGAAGGAACTAGATAGGCTCAAGTGCAAAGATGTATTACTGAATACCAAAGTTAGGATCATCCATGTCACAGTATTTCCAATTTTGAGTATGATTATGAAAGCCAAATAGTGAAGAAAGCTGACAGGATGAGAACCGACTCATAGGAATGGAATCTAGAGCAAATTATGATTGAGCTCTCATTAAAAGCTAAAATGCCTTAATAATTAACAAGAGATTGATGATGGTGGTTGTGGTGAGGCTATATGCAAAATTTTTATTAAATGTCAAGCTTTCCCCATGCAACTGGGAATAACTTTTCTTTGATTTCTGAAGAATGCTCCTGGGGAGAAAATAGTGCAACATGAAGGCTGGGATCAATTATGGTGAAGTTGGATGACAGAAGCAACAGCAGCAATATTTTATGTTAAGTACTTTAAAAACTGATTATGTTACCCTCAAGTACTTCATTCAGACATTGATTTACCTTTATTATATAATCAAATGAATGGATGGTTGTAGCATTATACAATTAGTTTGCTTAATTCGTACATAATTCAAACATTAGGAGTTCAGAAGTAAATTATGGGTAGACTTGGAGGCATAACTACTTCTGGGATTCTTAAATGAAACCAGATAAAGGGTTGCTTTGTAACATGAAGCCAGAATTCATGCTACCCATGCTCTATTCTGCCTTGGTCAGACCACACCTGGAATACTGTGTCCAATTCTGGGCACTGCAATTGAAGGGAGATGTTGACAGGCTGGAATGTGTCCAGAGAAGGGGGACTAAAATGATCAAGGGTCTGCAGAACAAGCCCTATGAGGAGCAGCTTAAAGAGCTGGGCATATTTAGCCTGCAGAAAAGAAGGCTGAGAAGAGACATGATGGCCATGTATAAATACATGAAGGAAAGTCATAGGGAGGTGGGAGCATGCTTATTTTCTGCTGCCCTGGAGACTAGGACACGGAATGATGGCTTCAAACTACAGGAAAGGAGATTCCACCTGAACATGAGGAAGAACTTACTGTGAGAGCTGTTCAGCAATGGAACTCTCTGCCCCGGAGCGTGGTGGAGGCTCCTTCGTCGGAGGCTTTTGAACAGAGGCTGGATAGCCATCTGTTAGGGGTGCTTTGAATACAATTTTCCTGCTTCTTGGCTGCAGGTTGGACTAGATGGCCCACAAGGTCTCTCCCAACTCTAGGATTCTATGATTGTGAATGTTCTAGCAAGCCTAGATCTTATGAAAGAAATTAAAATGTGAGGTGACTGGCTGGATATATATTTGAAAGCCTGATTCCTGATTGCAAACGTTATACTTATATCAAATATTCTGCCCCAAAAAACTTAAGAATAAAGGAGAAAAATAAATGAAATTGTTCTTTTTATTGGTCCAACTTATGTGGGGAAACATGAAACTGTGAACATCCTGGAGGACTGTATGAATTTGGAAAATATGTCATACCCACCAACAGCTGTGCATTCAATAAAATGTACATCCAACCTACTTTACTGTCTATTTTTTCAGTTGGCTTAGTGTGAGCATCTAGATTCTTGTGCAATTTTAAAATCAAATTCCAGCACAACCTTCTGTGCAGCATTTGTAGATTTTGGTCCTAACCCAAATTTCAACTGGATAAAGCTATTTGCTTGAATTGGAATTGGAGTTATTCAGACTGAATACTGTGCTCGATGGACATATTTAATATATTGCTTATGTATATGCAAATGCATGATCTATTTCAATAAAGCAGATTCTGATGATGTGTTTTAAATGATTTTTAAAAATGGTGATGGAATTATGAAAGCTGTAAAAAAGAAACTGATTATTTAGAATCAAACCCAGTCGTTTTCAACTCTTTTCCAAAGGACTTTAGAGTTCCCTGGAAATTATCAAAGTACACGGTCCACTTCTGCAAAATATATGCATTGCAGTATATACTTCTTCACTGGAGAACATCATTTCAAAATCGGAAGGGCAAATTTTGAAGTATTACTGAATTTTACTGTGCATATTAGTTCAAAATGCAATACTATAGAAGTTTGCATTAAAATGGATACTAGAATTCATCTCCATCTCTAGGTCTACAAATACACGTAATTTTGTGCACGGCAGCAAGTGGTAGCCAACATGACCAAAATGCATTCCCTTATTTTTGCTTCAGAAAATTTGAAGAACAAATTATGAAGGATTACTGAATTCTTATTATACATTATACATATTAGTTCAAAAATGCAATACTATGGAATTTTGCATTAAAATGGATTCTAGAATTCACCTTCATCTCTAGGTCTACTAACACATGTAATTTTGTGCACGGCAGCAATAGGTAGCCAACATGACCAAAATGCATTCCCTTATTTTTGCTTCAGGATCTTTTATGAGTTGGGTTCAATTGCCAGTTGAGGCAGTATGTTCAGAAGAGGCAAAAATGACCCACCTATCAAAAATATGTACATGAGACACAGGTGATAGAGCTGGAGGCAGCACCTTGCTTGTATGTAGCTGCTGTGAATGTTTACGATTGCTTAGCATGTGCATTACCCCTCTAGATATCTGAAGCTGCTTTTATTAGTACATATAAGTTTTCAGGAGGATAATTTGATATGGAAAGATCCTGAAAATTTCAGAGTGCAAATCTGAAGAAAAAACTGATTTAAAAGCATTTCAAAAATTGACATAGTGAAGGTTGTGTTGTCGAAGGCTTTCATGGCTGGAATCACTGGGTTGCTGTGAGTTTTCTGGGCTGTATGGCCATGTTAAGGTTTGTTCTCGTTAGTAATATCTTGAGATTCATGAAACCTCCCAGTAAGAAAAATGGGGGTACTAAAGGAAGTTCCTGTAAGAGAAAACCTGGGAATAGTAGCCAGAGTATGGGACCATCAACCCATATTTTACATTGGTAGTAGAAATTTGCAACTGAATCAGAGAGCCATGCCTAAGGAACGAAGGGTGAAGATTTTCCCAATAAGCAAAGGTAAAATATACTAATTTTATTTACATCTGAAAAGTTCTGTGCTCATTATTATTCACAATTTAAAAAGAAAAATAGCTTTTCAAATGTGCACTCACTTTGAATTTTCAAAGTGAAATAAAACAACCTTTTTTTTCTAATAGAAAAATATAAGATGAAGAATACTTAAAAACATACAATGTTAACCCAAAACGACCATTTCTCACACAGCTAGAAAGATCCAAAACCCCAACACTAATACAAAAAACCCTATTGCCTTACCTTTACTTTACAATAACACTTCGATACTAGTATTTACACAGTTTGGACACTACACAGATTGTAATGTGGCAGTGGGATATCTGCTTCCTATTGAAAAATTCAGAGTGTGAATGCAAATGCTGCATTCCTGATGCTGTACTTGGTTACTTGAAACTAAGTACACGTTTCAATGGTGCATGCAGCATAACAGCTGCTTTAGGTAAGCACTGCAGTCATCTCATCTGCATGTTTGCCACACATGTGCGGATGGACAGTCAAAACTCTTATCTTGTTGATGAGTTTCAAATTCAGTGACAACAATCAAAAGCTGAAGGAGCAGCAGAGTGATATGGTGAAGAACAGAGGAACCAGAATGCCAGTAGGACTTCCAGCTCTTTTGGACATGTGTGCATGTTTCAGAATGCGTACAGGCACAGATATCAGTATAAGGTGCTTTGACTGAGGCAGGGCTCTCATTGACAGAAGTAAGACCTGGTTTACAGATCAAACAGAGTAAGTCAGAGGAAAAACGTGATACAATGGAATGTACTATTTCCAAGTACATGTGAGGGAAATCCTTTCATGTTAGAAACACCTTCTTTCAAATGTTAGGGGCATGACTTCTTCCTGCAGTGCGTGCCTGTATGTGTGGTGCAGAAATGGTAACTGACCCACACATCTGCACTCTGAAGTGGAAATTCTATATTACTATATACTACTACAGCTCACAATACTTGATGCATAGGCCAAGCTATATGTTTTTCTTTCTTTTATCTGAACCTCTTGTGCTTTTCTTATACTGAAAACATTCAAAGAATGAAAGCAGAAAATGTGCCAGCATAATTCCGTGGTGACCTCTATGATAGGCTTCCTACACATAGATGGTGGAAATGCTGTGTGTATGTATGTGCATGTGTCTGTCTTCCTGGAAATAATGTTCTGTGCAAATGGAATTTATTTGAAGTCCAAATTTCCTCTTCCAAGACCACTGGCAAGCAGTTGACCTGTTTACATCAGTTTCAAACACATTTGCCACAGGGATCACTTAGGAACTATCTTCGCCTTAGAGCTGTGTATTCTCTTTCCTCAAACCTTTGACTTTTTTAATGTCCAAGAACAAAACATGCATATACTTTCCCAATAAATCCTTGTACGATCTACATGCTCCCATTTTCCCCCATCCTGTCTTTTCACTGTTCAATACATCTTTTTGTTCTGGCTGTAAAGCAGAACTTGTGTTTCTGAGATCACATTTCTTTTACAATCTGTTGTAAGAAGCAGCTAATGAAGGATGATCTGAAGTTTCAAAGAAAGCAGACAGAAGAACCATTCACATTTCCAAGACACAAAAATGACTGACCAGAGGATGCTGTCTCAGAATACATGTAAAAGGGTTAACATCATCTCGCCAAGAGAAAAGCTGCACTTGTATCACTTTTCTTTCATCTAGATTACTTTAAAGGCCATGTGGCATAGTGTGGCTAGTAAATCATTCCTGAGTTTCTGGGGTGGAAAAGACAACGTTATCCTACTTTTTGAAATGCTGAGTCCTTAAGGAGCTTCTTTTCTGTAGCTGTCTTTGGTAGCATCCATTTGTCTATAGAGTTTCCCTGCAAAAGCAATTTGTTTTTCTCCATTTCATGCAGCAGAAAAGTGAGACCTTATAGAGTCTTCCCGTAATTGGCGGTGCTTGCCAATGTTGTATTCTTCGAGTTGGCTTCTCCTTTCAATAGTTATTTTGTATTTTTTCCTGAAGAAAATGAATGGGGAACAAAGAATAAGAAAAACTTCTCTTTCAGATAAGTCTAGAGCAGTGTTCACAAAAGAATGTCTATGAAGGAGAGTTATGCTTTTCATGGTAAATGAAATGAATGGATATTCGTGCCAGAAGATTAGAGAGTGCCTTGGGGCATTTTTGCCTCTTCTGAAAGCTAAGTCATAGTCAAAGATTTTAGATAAATTGCCCACTCTTTCCCAAATTTGAAACAAAGTGCTCAAGAAGTCAGTATATAATACAACGGAAATGTGATGTTTGAGCCTGCAGCTAATGAAGCTGTTTAACTATTAGTTTTCTCAGATGTTTACATCAGTAATGTGAATCATGTAGCCTTCTAGTTGTTGGACTGCAGCTAGAGCTGCAATTCAGCAATATGTAGAGGGCGACACCCCCCACCCCATGGGTCAAAATTAACCCCATAAAGTACAATCAACAAATCTAAATACTCAAAATTTACTTGCCTAATTAATTGTTGGTCTGCATAAATTCTTACATTGTGAATTGTTAGCAATATACATTGTTGTTATCTATATAAATAAAAATGTAATGTTCGTTTGTGGGATTAACAGAACTCAAAAACCACTGGACGAACTGGCACCAAATTTGGACAGCATACACCTAACAACCCAATGTATGTCCTTCACTCAAAAAAATGGATTTTGTCATTTGGGAGTTGTAGTTGCTGGGATTTATAGTTCACCTACAATCAAAGAGCATTCTGAACCACCAACGATGGAATTGAACCAAACTTGGCACACAGTTTTCCTATGACCAACAGAAAAAACTGGAAGGGTTTGGTGGGCAGTGTCCTTTGGTTTTGGAGTTGTAGTTCACCTACATCCAGAGATCACTATGGACTCAAACAATGACGTATCTAGACCAAACTCTACATGAATACTCAATATGCCCAAATGTGAACACTGGTGGTGTTTGGGGAAAATAGAATCTTGACATTTGGGAGTTGTAGTTGCTGGGATTTATAGTTCATCTACAATCACAGAGAATTCTGAACCCCACCAACAATAGAATTGGGCCAAAGCTCCCACACAGAACCCCCCATATGGGCCACAGCAACGCATGGCAGGGGATGGCTAGTACAGTAATAAAAAAGCTATGTTGTTCTGTTGAGACAGCTACATAATTAAAACAGGACTATTGAGAAACTGGGGAATATCCTTGTGCTTAGAACTCTGAAGTAGAAAGGAGACATGTGCACAAATTTGTTCTTACAGTTTCTTCCATTTCTTTCGTGTCTTCCATTTATTCAGAAGCACGAAACAGGAAGCCCCCTCCCCAAATGAAACTCAGCTTGACACGAAAGCCTGCTTAAAGATGACAAAATGCAAGAAGGCTTCTATAGGGACTTCATAATACTTGAAGAGCAAATACAGATTCTTGAAGAGAGAATATAGTGACCTGATTTCAAGGGGACAGGTATAGTAAGCACATACATACAGTTCTCAAACTGAACACACCTGAAAAAGTAGAAGGCCATCAACAGTCCTGCTCCTAATAAGGCACCCACAACTATTCCTGTTACTGCTGATTCTCCAAGGCCACCTGCTTGAAAAATTAAAAAGAAGAAATTAGAAACAGCAGTTCACAATAAATATACTAAAGCTTACAAAAGCACCGAGTAAACACATAATACTATACAAAGTGTTTCAAAAGTATTTTTATGTAGATGTTTAGTAAAATTTTATTTCTTTTTGCTTTTATGGGCCAGGATCTTCTTGGTAAGTTGTACTGATATAATGAGAAGTATGCCAATTTAAGTACTTTTTGGAGAATTTCTTAAGAAGATACTTAGTACTGCCTTGTGCAATGCTTCCTCCATCAGGACAGCAGAAGCCCAATGGGGCTAGCTATAGTGAGCATACTACGCCCCTATTAAAGCAGCTCCACTGGCTTGCGACAAGTTTCCAGGCTCAATTCAAGGTGTAGGTTATCACCTATAAAGCCCTATATACTTCGGGTGCAGCCTACCTTCGAGAATGTATCTCCTTTTGTGAACCGGCACGGGCTCTGAGATCTGTCGGGGAGGCCCTTCTCTCGGTCCCACCACCATTCCAAGTACAGTTGATGGGGAGAGAAAGGGCCTTCTCGGTGGTGGCTCCCCGGCACTAAAATACCCTCCCTAGAGAAATTAGATTAGCCCCCACTCTCCAAGCCTTCAGGTCTAGCCTAAAACATGGCTTTTTAAATTGGCCTTTGACCTTGAGTAGTTTGCAATGATTGCATGTGAGGACTGATTGTTCACTCCAGGACTTTAGCTTATTAATTAAAGACAGCCAGTTTTATCCGCAGGCACTACTGCATTTTATAAATTTTAAAATGTATACGTTCAATGTGTTTACAGTTGTAAGTTTATGTTGTTATTGTTTTTATGATTATGTATTGTTTATTTTATGTGTGACACTCTGGAGTGCTTTTCTATGCCGCCCCAAGTCCCTTCAGGGAGATGGTGGTGGGGTATAAATAAAGTTTATTATTTTATTATTGTAATGCCTGAACGCAGCTTGGCTATTCCACCCAGAGGGCCAATAATTGCACAGCAAAAGTTAAAAGAGCACACTTTACCCATTGAATCTCCAGCACAACTTGATGTTTTTATCATCCTTGTGGGAGGCTTCTCTCATGTCCCTGCATGAGGAGTTGGAGCTCATCCGCCTCTCCCCGGATTCGAACCTGCGACCTGTCGGTCTTCAGTCCTGCCGGCACAGGGCTTTAACCCACTGTGCCACCGGGGTCACTGGGTGATGGGCTAGGAAAACTTCTTACCTGCATTCCTGAATGGCTATCTGGCTCCAGACCTCTGATCTTCTTCATACCAAACATATTTTGCTTCATGGTATTTTGTCTTTTTGCTCCAATAACTTTATCACAACCAGCCTAAGGACAGAAGGGCAGAGATTCTCTGCAAACCCTCCTTGGTAAGCCTATAAAGGGCCCTAGATACAATCTTTCAATCCCTGCCATAGTAGGTGTCAATAACGGCTACAGTAGTTCACAGAAAACTAGAATGAAGCCACCTACACTGTCTGCAGTTGTACTCAAATCTTCCTCCCCATGTATTTTTTCTTATCTATTGGGGGCTGGTGGATTGCAAGGTTGTTTGCATTCTCCTTGCCAATGGCTTGGGAAACATATGGAAATTGAAGCTTATACCTTGATTACATCTGTGCATAAAACTCTTCCAGCGCTATGGTGTGCCATCTAAAATACTCCTGTTGATCTGTGATTTTAAGCTTGCTCAATAAAAATGCACCAGTGAAAACTATCCATAAATCTATCCTAAGATTAATGGGCTACATATAATCAAGTCGAGTGGATGTACAGTATATCACTGCTGTCAAGATAAAGAGGTATCTATAAAACGAGCACAATCTCACAACATGGACTGCGGTCTGTTATATATTTAGAAAGAAGCTAACCACACTCAACTTACATGATTTGCAGGGTGTATTGCTTGGGTGCTCCAAACCTCTGCTGTCATCTATTCTCGGTCTGTGTTCCCAGAGATAATTTAAATTTGGAAACATTTCAAGCCGTCCCTGTTTTCCATAATAGTTCCCAATAACCTGTAAGAGGATAATATATATACATATATCTCACAAGCATCAGAATTCCACCAGTAAATGATTTCTTAAGCCATAAATCTTAATTAGCAGAAAAGAGAAAGGAAATTAGAAGTCCTCATTTGTTGTTTTTCAGAAATCCCACATCCCTGACATAATGTCGAGATAGGAAAAGGCACAGATTAGGCATAGAGTCTACCAATTTATCTTCCAAACAGTATGTAAGGCCTCCCTGTGATTTGTAGGACTCTTTTCAGTGCAGGTGATTCCCAAGGACTTAGTCTAGTTTCCCACACCCTTTCCCTACAGTTGTAGCTGAAATTCTTGTGAAATCTTTGTTTACTTGATTTTAGTTGAGTTTTTTTTAAAGCAGACTTTATATTCTAAACATCATATGATCAGATAAGGATGTGCAGATGCAAACTGCTTGGACTGTGTACCATTTAGAAATAAAAGTTTTCATGACCAGTGGGAAGGAACCTGCCACATAAACAAACATTGTCACAACATAATCAAAGCGGTCTAACCATTATAATTCATGACAAGGTCAAGCCTGGCAAACTGAATGACGTCAAGAAATGTGAAAGAGAAAGAAACAAGACTCTGAAATGAGAAAGGCTTTTTAATGGAAATGGAAAGCATGTGCTAAATACACAAATGGTAGAATTATCCTGATACCATTAGACTTCCCGCTCTAGTTGTGTACTACATATGGATTTCTGCAGACATTGGGGTCGATCAGATCCTTCCTGTTCAATCTATTTTTTAGACTTTGGAATGGCATGAGGCACCCTTCAGCCTTTCCTCAGAAGTCTTGATACTTTTTTATCATCTTCATATTTTGTATGAGTTTTAGGTTTGTATGAGTCCGAGAAGCCGGACATGGCCATGGTGGTCCATGCGTTGGTTACATCCAGATTGAATTATTGCAATGCACTCTATGTGGAGCTGCTTTTAAAGATGGCCCAGAATTTGCAATTTGTACAAAGATCTGCGAGGCTTCTTACTGGAGCCAATTACAGGGAGTGCACAACGCCCCAATTAAAGAGCTCCATTGGGTGCCGATAAGTTTCTGATCCCAATTCAAGGTGCAGATTATGACCTACGAAGCCCTATACAGTTCGGGCCTTGCCTATCTTCGCGACCACATCTCACCCTAAGAATTGGCGTGGGCTCGAATATCTGCTGGGCAGGCCCTCCTCTTGCTTCCATTACTGTCACAGGCACGGCTGGTGGGGATGAGGGAGAGGGCCTTCTCAATGGTGGCCCCCCGACTTTGGAACACCCTTCCCAGGGAGATTAGCCAAATCCCTACAATGCCCACCTTTCATAGGGACTTGAAAACCTGGATGTTCCAGCAGGTTTTTTGAGAATGAGTAATCCCCAGGCACAGTCTTTAGGTCATCAGTTAGCACGCTGCTCTGCACTTTGCCCACTTTCCCGCCCATATGATACACTGTTTGCCCTATGCCTTGCCCACCCCTTTTATAGTTGACTATGCCCATTTTGTAGTCCTGGCCATTGGTTTTTGTTGAACCTTGTTTGGTGGAGTTATAATTGCAATCGGTTTAAATTTTATTGTTGTGTTTTAGTAGGAGTTTTGTGTTTTAGGATGCTTTTAATTTGATCTGTCTGTATAAGTTTCTTCTTGGCAATTGAATGTTTTGCCTTATAAGTTCGAAACCACCCTGAGTCCCTTCAGGCGGTACACAAATAAAGTTTTATTTATTTATTTATTATTATTATTATTATTATTATTATTATTATTATTGTTTTACAAAACTGAGTCTCATTTTACTGCATGATCAAAGCCACCATAATATTGCAAACACAATCAAAACTCATGCGAAACTAGTACAAATCATCTGCTCTCACCAAATTATGTCAACTCACAGTTTCATAGGCTGAAATATAATATTATTTCCATAAACTTAGCCACTTATATAGCAGGTTTATAGGGAATGAAATGGTTAAGAATAACATGTTATTGTAAAAAGATTTTTTACTGAAGATGGGTAGAATGAATTCAAAAAAAATTGAAAGAAAATTAAAGAATCTTAGAGATAGAGAATTATAGAATCATAGAGTTGGAAGAATCCTTGTGGGCCATTCAGTCCACCCCCCTGCCAAGAAGCAGGAAAATTGCATTCAAAGAACCCCCAACAGATGGCCATCCGGCCTCTGTATAAAAGCCTCCAAAGAAAGAGCCATCACCACACTATGGGGCAGAGAGTTCCACTGCTGAACAGCTCTCACTGCTGAACAGCTCTCACAGTCAGGTGGAATCTGCTTTCCTGTACTTTGAAGCCATTGATCCATGTCTTAGTCTCCAGGGCAGCAGAAAACCAGCCTTCTCCTTTCTCCCTATGACATCCCCTCACAGATTTATACATGGCCATCATGTCTCCTCTCAGCCTTCTCTTCTGCAGGCTAAACATACCAAGCCCTTTGAGCCGCTCCTCATAGGGCTTGTTCTCCAGACCCTTGATCATTTTAGTCGCCCCTGTCTGGACACATTCCAGCTTGTCAACATCTCTATTTAACTGTAGTCCCCAGAATTGGACACAGTATTCCAGGTGTGGTCTGACCAAGGCAGAATAGAGGGGTAGCATAACTTCCCTGGACCGAGACACTATATTTATGCAGGCCAAAATCCCATTGGCTTTTTTTTGCCACCACATGACATTGTTGGCTCATGTTTAACTTGTTGTCCATTTGTGTTTATATTTAAACACAGTCTAAAAACCAACACCAAATGTAACCAAATCATCATATTTGAAAGTGATTTGGGGCACACACATCTTCAAAGTCTTTTTTTGAAGAGCAAAATTGCAATTGCACATCCCTTGTGAGAGAATACTACTGTTCCATATGAAATTCACTAAGTAATCTTGGAAGAATCACTTCCAATTAATTGTGAGAACCAAGTATAGTTACCAATATTCATGTCTACCACCCTTACTGGAAGAAAAGTAACAGACCAGCACCACAACAAGTCATTATTTTGAAATTGGTCCAGATATTTTCTTTAGAACATCTCAGTAAATCTCACAAAACTTGACTGGGTTAAATGCTATTAGATTGACCTGACATTCTTCAACACTCTTTTGTTTTCCTGATCTGCACTGCATTGTTCCAGATTAACATTTAGATTTTTATTCTTATGCTTACCTGCTGGGTTCCAGCTTCTGGGTCAGTCATTGCAATTACGGAAAAATCCCCGAATCTTTCTCCATTGGCATCTATGGATACTGGCCCTGCAATGCCTGAAGAATGGCATGTGAGAATTTTTTTTAAAAAACTGAGTTGAAAATATAGAATGCATCCAAGAAAAACAACAAAAAAGAAGGAAATGGCAGAATTTTTATACACTGATATGGCAGGAAACCTCATTAGTCTTCCAGCACTTTTGTTGGCATTCCAAAAGAAATTGTAATTTCACCTCCATGTCTGCATTCCTAAAATTCTTAACATTTCTCTTTGAAAAATATATAATAATCTCAGCCCGTTTAAAAGGATAACAGGAAAAATAAAATAAAATGAATTCCTGTTCTAGAACATCTACTGAGGAAGCTTTAAGTTACACAGTGAATTTTGTATCTAGGAAGATCTGAGGAAACTCATATTATCAGATGTTGCTTGTCTAAAGCAATTGATATGTTGATGTTTTGTCTATGTTTGTCAGCTATTTGAGTTTGGGAGGGACCCTTCTTGCTCTTCTGTTTTCACAAAACAACTATTATATACAAACAAGTATAAGCCGACCTGAATATAAGCCAAGGCACCTAATTTTACTACAAAAAACTGGGAAAACATATTGACTCGAGGGTGGGAAATGCATCTGCTACTGGTAAATTTCAAAATAAAAATAGATACCAACAAAATTATATTAACTGAGGTATCAGTAGTTGAAATGTTTTTGAATATTTACATAAAACTGTAATTTAAGATAAGACTATCCAACTCTGATTAACCCATTAACTTTCTTCAATGTAAATGTGCTTACATATCCTTCCAATAATAATAGAGTAAAATAATAAATGTAATAACAACAATCATTATAAAGCAAAATAATAAATGTAATAACATTAGAGTAAAATAATAAATGCAATAATAATAAATTTAGTAAAATAATAAATGTAATTATAATAATAAATAGAGTAAAATAATAAATACAAAGACTCTGGCACAAGCCACTAATGCTGGCCCCAGTGGTGATTGGCACACTGGGTGCAAGTGCCTAACAAAATTACTGGTGCAGAGCTGACAAAATTACCACCTGCCAGCTGAAAAAGACCACCGTATTGGGATCTGCACACATTATTCGCTGATACATCACACAGTCCTAGACACTTGGGAAGTGTCCGATGTGTGATCCAATACAACAGCTAGCAGAGTGATCTGGTTTGGTGTGGACTCATCTTGTTGTGTTTCAAATAATTATAAATAGAGTAAACTAATAAATGTAATAATAAATAGAATAAACTAATAAATGTAATAATAATAAAGTAAAATAATAAATGCAATAATAATAATAATAATAATAAATAGAGTAAAATAAAAATGTAATAAAAGTAATAAAAATAACAGAGTAAAATAATAAATAACCTTGACTCGAGCATAAGCCCAAGGGAGGGCTTTTTCAGCCTAAAAAAGGGGCTCAAAACTTGGCTTATACTTGAGTATATATGGTATTTGGAATAGGTTAGTTAGACTGAAAGACACCAATTGGCTCAAAGCTTCGTAAATGAACAGGAATCTGGTTCTCCATAGTCAACATTCAGTATTGCAGTCACTAAACCACAGCCTATATCCGATGCATTCTCCAACATTCCTAGTTTCATCCCTGTAACGTCTGTCTCTCAAGGGTTCTGCTTTACTGTGATGAGAAAATGCAGCTGAGAAAATTTCCCATGATGTTTTTCTGAACTGTGCCAGTATCTGAACTCACTGTTAGGTTCTTATCTAAAGGGAACATTTCCTTTGATTTAAGTACTTCCACTGGGAATCTTGATAATCTTACCCTGAGATAAATGACAAATGGATCTCAGAAGAGCAGCTTGGACTCACCAGTAAATTCTGCTGAATTTACAAAGCTATTAGCTCAGGACTTCCAACATATTAATAGATTCTAAACTCTGCTGAAGGGAATAAGGGGAAGGGTCAACAGTTGGGGACAGAGAACAATGGTTGTGTCTGCACACACAGTCTGAAATATTAAACGGAAATCTTGAAATATCTCCAAACACAAACATATTGGTACAGACAGCCAGGGGCAGGAGAGGGCTTTCCAGGTGCAGTGCAAGAAGCATATGGTCAAGGAGTGAAGCAAGGGACAAAATGCTGTCAATGTACATGTGGAAAGAAAGGGTTTTGTATCTTCTTGAAAGTTACCACTTAAAGGTCTGATGCAATGCCTATTGCAATATATATCATCTACAATGGCCCACCTCAAGTGCTTCATTTAATCTCAACTGCAAAGAAAGACAATGAGAAAAAGGTTCTTTTTACTAATGCAGTGGTTCCTAAACTTTGGTCCTCCAAGTGTTTTGGACTTCAACTCCCAGAAATCCCAGAATTGTGGAAGCTGAAGTCCAAAACAGCTGGAGGACCAAAGGTTGGGAACCACTGCACTGAGTTGCCTTTGGGCTGATATGGGTGGGATAGAAATAATGTAAATAAATAATGGCACCCTGGCTGTCCTCAAGGAAGCGGGTGTCACATCGGTTCCATGGCAGCTGCACAACACATGGAATTCATTTGGGTTAAGGACTTTAACTGTGTTAAAATAAGTTGTGGATTGCTTCTACTCTTCCCTGGGAACCAGGAGAGTAAACAGCAACTTTTAGCCTGTGTAAGATGTTGTACCGTTTTCTGTTTGGGAAGTGGCCACAGTTGTTAACACCACTAAATTCTGCTTTCCTCAGACTCAGGCAGCCTGGGGACAGGGGGTGACATCTATCTAACTACATTTTTCTGGGCATGAGTTTGACACTGGTCACTGCTTGCCGTTTGTAATAATGATACACACAATGGCAAGGCTATCAGAGAAGGGGGTTGGGGGGAAAGGAGGGTGCTGCTCCTCCTTTCCCCCCTCGTTTCCCCACTCTCACGTTGCTCTGTTACTCCAGGCCCTAAGCAGTAGCCAGCACCATTTTCGTGCACCACAAAGCCCAGAATGACAAGGGTAAGGTAAGATAACAATTTTCTGAAGCACCGCTTGGCCATGTAGCTGCCATCTAACCGCTAGGGAAGTTTGGGGTGATGCAATGTTGGCACCATCCAGTCCCTGATCAGCATTGGATCAGCATTGCTGTTTTTTGCCAGGGAAGATGCACTCTTAGTTATTATAGCAGTTTTTATGTGTTTACTTGCCATGGTCTTAAGTTCTATGAAGTTACTATTAATTCTGCTGTATTGGAATATGTATATTTCGGTTTGATGCTGAATGTCATTTTTTATTTCTTTTTAGAGAATGAATTGTATTACTGCAATGTTTAAGATTATTTTTATGGTGGTTAAAGTTATCACTGATTTCTACTGTATTTTATAGAATATATTTGCTGGTTTTCATTTTAGCAGGCATGCTTTTGAAATCAATCAATCAATCTTTTCGTACCAATGACCATGCTTTAAACTGCTTTTACTTGTGAGCATAATATTAATATTTTCAACCGTTTTAAATTTTATGAACCTCCTTGAGCCTTGGATTGGGAAGAAAGTGGGGTATAAACGAATATAAATATAATTAGGAAATGGTGGAGTATAGACAAATATAGACAAGCATAGACAAATATATATACAGGTGTGTGTACACACACACATGCACACACACACACACATGCTTTGGATAGCATAGGAAGGGTGAACACCCCCGTGGTGTTTGTTTCGCTGTCTGTGCTCCTGTTCAGAAGATTTCCCTCACTTTCTGTCTCTGTGATAACTGGATTTTGAAAAAAAAAAAAAAGAATTGTAGTGGAAACCAAGACTGGAGATAAAGCTTCTCTAGAGACAATTTACCCCCAGGGTAACTCTTTCAGGAGTAAATTTCCCTTCTGAAGTGTGTGTGTGTGTGGGGGTGTGGGGGTAGATTTCTCTCACTTCCTGTTGTTTCAGCCCTGTTCTTATCTATGAGTCATTTGTAAGTTGAATGCTTATATTTTGGGGACTGCCTGTATCTATATAACCCATCCAGTATGCCTTTATAGTGGAGCCTCCAGTGGTGCAGTGGGTTAAACCGCTTAGCTGCTGACCAAAAGGTCAGCAGTTCAAATCAGGGGAGTGGGGTAAGCTCCCGCTGTTAGCCCCAGCTTCTGCCAATCTAGCAGTTCGAAAACATGCAAATGTAAGTAGATCAATAGGTACTGCTCTGGCGTGAAGTTAAAGGCACTCCATGCAGTCATGCTGGCCACATGACCTTGGAGGCGTCTACGGACAACACTGGCTTTTTGGCTCAGCAATAGAGATGAGCACCACCCCTCAGAATTGGACATGATGACTTAATGTCAAGAGGAAACCTTATGCCTTTATATATTAATTTGTAAGGAATGCAACATGGAAGATAACCTATGCTTTGGTTGGCTACTGTAAGCACAGAATGCTGGATAATATAGGCTCTTTGTTTACTTATTAGGTATGCTTAGGGAACTTGTTGTATAGGTATGTGAAATATGAATAAATATGTAATACCTTTTTAAGTCTCACAGCCTGATATCCAGTAGGTGGTTTCAGATTTTAATTATCAAGGAGGTATGATCAAAAAATGGGAATTAAACTTTTTACTAAGTTTCCAAAAGTAGAAGAGTTATAATCCTTTTCAAAAATGTAGACCTAAGAATGATTGCCTACCTTCATAAGTCCTGTTCCATGTCTGATGGACAATTTTCTCTCCATCTTTCTTAGTGAAACCATTCTTCAGAACTTCTCGCAAAGCCAGAACATAAAGGATAATAGCATCATGGAATCCTTCCACAAACATATTAACCTAGAAACAAAGCACAGCCTCATAAATATATTGAGCAATAAAAGAAAGGAGCTGTCTGTGAAGTTCAGCAAATCACAATTTCATATAAACTAAAGAAAAGTCATTGCAGATTACACATAAATCAACTATATCTGTCATAACTGCAGTCTTCTCATTGGGTTTATATGCCTTCAAATTGCTTTGATGTATGGGGACCCTACTAAGGCCCTATATTCCTTGGAATTATTTTGCATTTACTGGAGTCATCGTTTGGACGCCTCTGGTAAAAGCACGACAGGTTCCGCATTTTGGAGCCTGTCTGGAAAGGCCCTACTGGAGAAATAATGCAGATGGACCAGATTGAGGTAGATCAACTCCACTCAATATTCTTTTTCATATGGCTTTTTCTGTGCAAGTTTTGCCCTGCAACCTTCTTTACAACACTTGATTTGATTTTTTCTCTCCTTACAATAGGCTTAGCAGATAACTTTTCCCAATGTATTGCTATACCATGACATTATGCTTACATGTAGTGATTAAACACAAGCTGAACTCTGAGTGAAAATCTTAAATACATTTTTCAATACAGCTTTCACTCATAAAAGAAAATCAAATGTATGTATGTATGTATGTATGTATGTATGTATGTATGTATGTATGTATGTTGGGTGGTTTGTTTGTCCACAAAGGCTCCTACATGGCTTGATGGATCTGGACCAAACTTGGCACACATACTCTTCATTGTTGTTGTTGTTGATGATGTTAATTTGTTCAGTCATTTCTGACTCTTCATGACTTCAGGGACCAGTCCACGCCAGAGTTCCCTGTCAGTCGTCACCACCCCCAGCTCCTTCAAGGTCAATCCAGTCACTTCAAGGATTTATTTATTTATTTATTTATTTATTATTTAAGGATACCATCCATCCATCTTGCCCTTGGTCGGCCCCTCTTCCTTTTTCCTTCCTTTCCCCCCAGTATCATTGTCTTCTCTAAGCTTTCCTTTCTTCTCATGATGTGGCCAAAGGACTTCATCTTGGCCACTACTATTCTTCCCTCCAATGAGCAGTCAGGCTTTATTTCTTGAAGTATGGACTAGTTGGATCTTCTCGCTGTCCAAGGCACTCTCAGCACTTTCATCCAGAACCAGTCTTCATTACTCTTCATTACTTGGCTTAAAATAAATGTGGGATTTCAACTACTAAATCTACCCCAAGGGCTTCAAAAAGTAAACAATGTGTATGCAACACTTAGATGCAACCAGAAGATGGCAATACACAGATAGAAAGGATTAGCTATTGGCAGACAAACATGCGAAAAACAAAGCCCTGAAGGCCACAGTCAGACATCCACCACAGTCAAAAGTAAGGAATTTAAAGAAGATTTATATTTTGAGAGGGTTGTGTGTGTGTGCGCGCACCATCCTCTGAGGCTAAGAGACTGATTTCCAAGAAAAGACTGGATGAAGGAAGATAAAGGAAAGAAGAAAAGGCAGAAGGGAAGAGAAGAAAAGAAAAGAAGAGAAGTTTTGTTTATAGGTTATATTGTGTTTATTTTACTCTTTGTTTTGTTGTGATTGTTGTTATTTGTTAGGCATTGAATGTTTGCCATTTTTGTTATTTTGTGAACCGTCCGGAGTCCCTTCGGGGAGAGATGGCAGGTTAGAAATAAAGTTTTATTAAGTGAAAAGAAAGGAAGAGAGAAAAGAGACAAAAAGAGAGGGGAAAAGAAAAAGGAAGGGAAGAGAAAGGGAGGGAAAGGGAAAAAAGCATTAGTTACTGGTAGACAACTGGTGTCTGTACCATGAGGTCTTACATGAGACAAAAACACATAGCCTGAGGGCCACAGTCGCGACATCAACTTGGAAGGAAGTAAGCAATTTTACGAAGATTTATACTTTGGAATGAGTGTATGTGCGTGCTTGTGCCTTGCTCTCAGGCTGAGAGGAAAGGCTGAGTGAAAGAAGAAGAGGGAAAGGGGGAAGATATGAGGGGAGAGGAGTGAAGAAAGAGAAAGGATGGAAGGGAAAGGGGGACTAAATAGGGAGGTAAGAAAGAAAAAGAAGGAAAGACAAATGAGGGCAGGAAAGAAGTAAGGAAAAGGGGAGAAGGTGTATGAAGGAAAGCAAGAGATGAAGGAAAGAAAAGTAAAAAAGACAGATGGACAAAGTATATGAGGAAAAGGGAGGAAGAAAAGAGAGACCCACAAAGAAAATGCACACCTGAGCAACCCTGGGTAAATAAGGATAAAAGCTGAACTGTATTCATCTTAAGAAATCACATGAAGATTTTTTTTCCTCTCTCTCATCTCACAAACAAACAAAATTTTATTACAGTCATAGACCAGCATTAAGGAATCACTCTCAGGTGCAGATTTTGGTTGACAGGCATGAAAGTGTTAGGGGATGCAAAAAATCGGTTGGTGAGTGTGTTAACTGAAAATGCAAAGCATGAAGCTGATTGGTTGGGTCACGCCTGGGGAGCTAGTTGAGCCAAGGAGTTTTGGCAACACTTACATTTTTAGAATTGAGCTGTGCAGAAGCTAGCAGAGAGAGACAGTTCTTGCTTCATGAGGTGCTGGAAGAAGATTTTCCACATGGATACCTAAAGACCATCTGAATCTCTCTCAAATGACATTGTGTGAGTCAATGCAACTGTTCACATGATTGTATATATGTTGCTCTGCATTACAAAGGATAAACTACTTGTTCTTTACTGCTCATCTGTGTGGCATATTTTCTTTCTCTGGCAAGAGAGTGTGTGGACTGGTAAAAAAGTGTTCTATGGGTGATTTTCATTCATAGACCAGCATAAGGAGTGACTGTCAGATGCAGATTTTGGCTGACAAGCACAAAAGTACTCAAAAAAGGCATTTTGTTTCACAGACCTTCATAGCCCATAAAAATGGAAGAACTGCAGTACTGGGTCTCAACATCATCAAGCACCCTTCGGAGGGAGAAGGGCGGGGTAGAAATGCATGAAATAAATAAATAAATAAGCACCTAAGTACAAAACTGACATAGCAGATGGACAAGACAGGCAGCTATTAGGTCAGTCAGCATGTTTATAAAAACGTAACTGGCAACAGCAACGAGAATCTCAGCTTGCCTCTAGGAATCTGTTGTCAACACAGACTAGACAGACATTATGTCTCTTAAGGTTTCTCTTGAACTCTCCCTCTGTCTACAACAGTTACTGGACTTGAGTTACATATTACTCAACAAATCCACTAACCCTCATTTTGGATAGAACAGGATAGCAGTATAATAATTTGTCACCGCGCATGGCAGGCAGAACAAATTGTGAATTGTCTGTTTTGCAGGGGACCCCTCATGGACCTCGAAAACACTCTCTTCCCATTTGGAGAAAGCAAGTTTCTTTTGATTCTGTGGGTTGAATTGTTTGTTTAAGGATTACCCTCCTCCGGGCCACCCCACCCCACTCTTTACCTCTTTTCCACCCCTGCTGATTCTGGATCTCACTCAAAACACTTGCTCTGCTGGAACAACAGAGCAATCCTGTTCTGTTACATAGTTTTTGAAGCAGCCAGGAAAAAATGTTTCTTGTCTTATGTGACTTTTCTACTGAAATGGCATAAGCTAAATGAAATATCACTGTTCCCACTACAAATCCCCAAAGTAAATAACCAATTTTGTGTTTTGTAGCAGCATTGTCATTGCTGAGTGCTGTGTATTGCTGAGTGCTGAATTCAGCTGTGCTTAGCCCAAGGTTGCATTTCACCACGAAACAATACAACCCATCAGATTAATAATTTTGTCTCTGTTATCAAAATTATAATATTATGTTCTCTTTATATTGGGTTTTGCCTCATTCTGACTTACTCCTTCCTAAATTTGAAGTTCATCTTGACAATTTAATCTCAAATTTCTTAGGAGCAAAACACAACATCAATTTTTTTTAATAGCTGAGAAGATGGAGCGCTAATATTGTACATGACTTTTGAAAATGCAGAACCATAGCACATTGATTTGAAAGTGGAGAATACCTGTATGACTAGTTAACATCTCTTGAGGGTGATTCTGTCCTGCCTTTTATTTGATTTTCTTCCTATCCACAGATAGACTGTGGAAGCCTCTCTCTTTGGGAGCTATACCCATCCTTATAATTTCAGATAATGTGCTTATATGTAACACTAGCTTGGGGACCCGGCACTGCCCGGGTTATTTGAGAAAGGAATTGCGTATCAAGGTTGGTCTTTATCAGTTATTTATATGGCTCGCAGTGGTCTCAGGAAGTTAGTGAAGGTACTGTGAGTCCCATCATCTGTGGTCCATCCTCTTCCAAACTGCTTAAGTCACAGTGACAGGGTTCCATACTTCACACTTTAACAACACAACTATTCAATGCTAAATGGAACTGTAGAGGAGAGTCTACTGAACAAGCCAGTACCTGCTGCATACCAGTACTGCCATCTGTTGAGGAGTTACGAAGTTGGAGGCATTACTTTTCATTCAACCCCTGTGTGTGTGTGTGTGTGTATAATCCCATTTTATGTGGCAAGTTTTAAAATAAGCTTGAATCCTTTGTGTATAAACTAGCTCATGCAGATTTCTTAAATCTGTGTTATGGAGTGAAGCAGGCAAGGACTGATAATTCTTTCCTCTACTTTTACTGTCTTTAGGAAAATCTATTGAAGCTGGGTATCTGTTTTGGAGGAAAATAACCTCACTGGCAACAAAAGGGATTGTTGCCAATGAAAATACCTTTCATATTTTCTTTCCAGTGCTTTTATCAGACACAGGCGATTGCATTCAGCCCTGGGGGATGGGAGTACATATGGTGCCAAGATGACTGAGGTGGCATTTTGTGTCTTTGTTATTGGTCTTCTCTGATGTCATAGTTTAGCCACAGGCTTGGGGTCACTGGTCACCAAAGATTTCAATAAGTAGTAATAAGCAGCTGGATTTATTATCCTTCTAGTTTGCACTTGGCAACTGCCAAGCCATAGTTGGGTCAATGGAGTGCAGTCAAACAGATGGGAGTACTAGTTTCAGAGAAGGGAAC